CTGTAGACCTTCTTCATTCACTGGTCCAATGGAAAACATGACAGAAGTTGCAACGATAATCTTCCTTAAAAAAGACTCGAGTGTATGAGTTACCATGAAGATGTGTAATATGTAGTATGTTTCATATGACATTGTGTACAGATGAAGTTATGTTTTAAACTGTAATATTAGTAGCAGTAAGATAAAATGAAGAGTGTTCTGGTTAAAAAGTGCTCTACTAATTCTGTAACCTTGTGGAAGTTTCTTAATCTCTCTAGACCCCAGTATCCTCCTAAGTAAAATTGCCCAGTTTAAAGTAATAATCTCTGAAGATGCCTTGTAGCTCAGGAAGCCCATAATCCTCTTTTCATGTATGTTTTTCAAAATGCTACTGAACTGACTAATATAATCCTGAGTCAGGAGGTTCATCTCCATTACATATGTGTTTAAGTTCGAGGTGTATATAATTATAAAACCAAAATATGTCAGATGATGTTTCATAAGCTGTATGTTATTAGCACAGCTGGTATTTCAGAAACTGGAAAAAAAAAATCTCTTCAACTATGTTTATTTTCATCTGTGTTCACAGGAAGTTCAACACAATTGCCAGCTTCACAGAATATCATTTTGTGCAGATGACAAAACTGACAAGAGGATATTCACTTTCATATGTAAAGATTCTGAGTCAAATAAACATTTGTGTTATGTATTTGACAGTGAAAAGTGTGTAAGTATGCCAGATGTTTTAGGGTGGTTTGTTCTGTTTTACAAGCCAGGAATTGTCTTGTTTCCGGCATTAGTAAGGTATTTGGAAATAAGTATGGTCTGCAAATACTTAGCTACACTAATAGATTCATCCTGTCATGAGAATATGCTGCAGGATTTCATCCCTAACTAAATTCTCATGTTCACAGACACGGGCTTGCATGCAAATTTCTTTTCTTAGAATGTCATGCTTGCTAATGTTATATATGTTTATTTCTCTTATAACATCTAATTTATTTCTTATTTTAAACTCAAATATGATTTACTAATATACATATAATGCAAAAAGGTAATGTTGAACAAAGTATTTTTTTTTCTGGAATGTGATAGATCTGATGAAAATAAATATTTTAAACTCCAGGAAGTGAAATCTGTAAGGGTCTTCAAACAAATCTTCAGTGTTTTGAAAAACCTTGTCCTTGATTTTACTTATTCAGAAAACAGTATCATGAAAGGTGATAGAATGTATGTGTGTGTATGTGCCTGTGTGAGTGTGTATGTGTGAGCTTGTAAATACAATCTAAAATTCTTAGCAAGTAAGAACAATTAGGGAATTCCGAAGTTGAGTGCTGTAACAGTTCTTTAATCATCTGGAACCTGAAGGAAAACTTTGTATCTTGACTATAAGCATAAGCTAACGCTAATTATAACCTAGCTGAGGTCCAGTTATAAAATACAAGATGTGAATTCCAAGCACACATTGTAGCCATTGATGGCTTTAATTGAGGAAGAACATCAAACCTCAACAACCTGATTGCCTTAGACAAGAAGAAACTTACTTGCACACTTTTCACACTGTGAAAAATATTATTATCATTATGTAATTTGTTTCTCTGGTTTCAATATGTGAGCTTCTTGAGAACAAATACTTGTTTATTTGTCCATGTAACTCCTACATCAGGTGGACAATAAATGCTCAATGAATTTTTTTCCTTAAAGACTATGCAGACAAATGTACAAAAGATAGAGCAAGTTATCTGTAACTTTTAAACTATAGTTCTCTAAAAAGGCAAACTAATGTGCTAGGCTACTTGGCATCATAATATGTTTTGAGAATTTGATGAACATTATGAAACATCTCATCAGAAAAATATGCTTATCCACATAAGGCAACATTATGTGAACAGTATGGTATTTTTATGAAGTTTAAGTTGTTTTGAAATTTATTCTATTAAATGAATGCATTATATTTAATGTTCCAAGTGCTTCTTAACCATGATTGCTTGCAGGCATTTGAGGAGATTAAAGTTGATATTTGTTGAATATCTTCTGTGTGTAAGATATTATAACCTTTTATCACTTACAGCAAGCAGAAAATTCAGTTGTTCTGCTTCCTTGTCTTACACAGAGGAATAAACTTCTTTAGGGTCCTGTGAAATATTCATAAACCAAGTCCATTAAAACATTAGCCGTCTTATGGCTTTATGTCACATGTTTTATCTTTCTTTGATCTCCATCAAATTTGTTATATGATTATTTAATATATGAGCTTGCCAGAATTCCCATGTAGTTTTATTGTTTTCAGAGTATAGACTCTATTTCCCCCTGATCATAATTTGTAATTGACTTCCAAAATTTCAATTCCGTAACCCATTAACTCTCCAGATATAGCCTATTAGCTTTACTTTTTATTTTTCTTAAAAGTTAAAAATGTATTCTTAAATCCTACTGCAGTGGCTCACAATCATTAGTGTACATAATATTCATAAGGAAGACCTTTTAAAATACAGCTCATTCATTTCCACTTCAAAAAAATACGTTCATATTGATTGGGGCTAGAGCTCAGGAAATCTATATTTTGCAAGTTCACCAAGTGATTTTGCTTCAGGTAGATGGAAGACTGAGCTTTGAAAAGCAAGGTTCCAAGTTATCACTTCAACTGTAAGTTGGCATCACTTTAATTAGCTTAAAGAGGATGTGTTTCCTCAAAGTCTCATTATATCATTTTTACCTTAAGATTTTATTTGCTCTACTTATAACAATGTCTGTACTTATAAAATTGATTTTATATGTATGAAAAATTTTTGAAATACCATCCTCTCTAATCAAAATAGGAAAATAAATTATGACCCAATTGGCACCACTCTTTCCTCTTATTTTAAGAAACCAAAGCCCACTTGAGTGCCTTTCCCAGTGTTACAAAGCTAGATAATAACAGGATCAGGATTAAAATTTAAGACCTTAGATTGCCATTGTAACATTTGTTCAGTCATGCTGTATTACTCCTGTAACTGTGACCTTGGGGGCTTGAGGGGAACTCTGTTCCAGGGGCTTTGTCTTACTTATTCATTATATTTTATCCTTTCGATACTTCTCTGAAATTGTTGAGAGTTTGAAAGTAGATGATACCTGTCCTCGTATGCCACAAGACTGGAATTCACTGCTTAATTAACATTATCATATTGTATTAATGAGTCTCCCTCCATGGTGACTGTGAGGATAATGTGGGGAGCTACAGTGCCCAGCTCTGCTAAGCAATAGTGAAGAGAGGCCAAGCGAGGGAGCTGAACTTCCTTCCCCACCAGGCAGTACTGAGGCAGTGCTCTCCCGTTCCCATTCCCCTACTCGAATTGTGTCAGAGTTTAAATAATTCTAGAGTCTCATAGTATTTAAAATATCCAAGATTCAATTGAAAATCTCTCCCCATAAGAATTAGAAAAAAGATGACCAATATATCTCTGAAAAAAGATGACCAATATATCTCAACACTGAGATGAGAGAGACATTAGAATTACCAGACAAATTTTAGAAGAGCCATCATAAAAATAATGAAATAAATTGTTACAATCACACGTGAAACAAATTAAAAATTACAGTGTCTTCTAAGAAATAGAAAATCTAAGCAAAGAAATAGAAGATAAAAAGAAAACCCAACTGGGATATTGGAACTGAAAAATACAACTAAATAAATAACACAATGTATAGGCTCAATAGCAGAAAGGAGAGGACAGAAGAAAGAATCAGCAACCTGGAAGACTGAAAAATAGAAAATGCCCAATCTGAACAATGCAGAGATAGTAAGTATACACATGTGAATGCACACACACACACACACACACACACACACACATGCTCACATAGGCATATACACAAAACACTACAAAAAAAGATCAGAAACCTGTGGGACTACAACAAAATATTTAATATTTATGTGTCATTAGGAAAGAGAGAAAAAAAAAAAACAGATAGCCTTGAAAAAATACTTGAAGACATAATAGTTGCAAACTTCCAAATTTGGCAAAAGACATAAACCTATAGATTGAAGAAATTGAATGAAGTCCAGACAGGATAAACCCAAGTTAATTCTACACATATACAGTCAAATTTCTGAAAACTAAAGACAGAAAAACCTTGAAAGTAGCAAGAGATAAAGTCCTTACCTAAAGCAGAAAATCAATTCAAATTACACTGTATTTCTTATTAGAAGCCATGAAGATGGGAAGGAAGTATCACATGGATTGTAAAAGTAACACAATTTTAGTTAGGATTGGCAAGATATATAATGAGGAATTTTAGACTTACAAGTTGCTCTTATAAACAGACTTTAGTATTATTATTCCCTTGGAGCATATGTAAACATGTATATGTAAATATATGCAAAACCAATAATATCCAGAATGACAAAGCAAATTATAGTTATTACTTACATGAAAACTGGAGGAGGCCAAAATTAAGGTTAAAAGCTAAAGGAAACTTTAAATTTGTCTGTAATGCTGAAAGACTTTAATACTGGTTTTACATATATTCAGGGTAATTAAAGGAAAAAGAAAGTAGTAATAAGTAAACATGCAAATTTTAGCATAGAAATATAAAAAAATAAATGGTTAGATAGAATAACTGAAAAAAAGTTTAACATCAGGTTTGGAATGGCAGAAAAAAAATGTTCAGTTATCTGAATATTATCTGAATAGCAACAAAATACAACATCAAAGTTTGTAAAAGACATTTCAAGCAATGCTCAGAGGGATATTTGTAGCTTTAAATGCTCCTATGAAAAAAAGATAAAAAGATTAAAAGTAATCATGCCCTTGACTTTGAGAAGTTAGAGTAAGGAAAAATTAAAAACAAAATACATTAGCTGGTGAATAGTCAGAAAAAGAAACAAAAGACATGAAATTGGAAAAAAAGGAGTAAAACTATCTTTTTTTCATAGGTGTAATATGAATTTCTACAAAGAAAATTCTGTAAAATCTACAAAATTGCTATAATTTTGAAGCAAATTTAGTCACAGGATACAAGGTTAATATACAAAATTGATTTTTTTGTCTACTATAAAAAAAGAAAAATCTATTTACTATAGCATCAACAAACGTGAAATAATTAGGATTTTTAAAGAAGATATACTGAAATCAACAAAATATTGCAGAAACTAAAGAAGACCTAAAATAATGGGTGAGAGATACCATATTAATAGGTTGGAACGCTCGATTTAGTTAAGAGGTCAGTTGCACTAAATTGTTCTATATAGTCAGTATGATTCTTGTCAAAATCAAAGTGGGATTTTTAATAGAAGTTGAAAAGTTGTTTTTAATATAGTAATATAAAACAGTATAGAATAGAAAAATTATTCCTGAAAGAAAATACCAAAGTTAGAAGACAAGACCAAAGTTGGAAGGCACAGTTTACCTGATTCCACAATGTACTCTAAAGAAACTTATAGGGTCAAGTGATATTGATGTAATGATAGCTAAATAATAAAGGAACTGCATTGTAGAGGCCAAAAATATCCACACATGCATGGTCAATTGATATTTCCACAAATGTGACAAGACAATTCAATTGAGAAAGGAAGTATTTGACAACTGGTATTAGAACAACTAGCCAAATATGTGAAAAAAGAATAATTAAAAATTAACCCTACATAAAAATAATTTCAGATGGATTATAGATGTAAAAGTAGAATCTTTTAAAGTCTGCTAAGAAATTTCCATTAAATGTAGAAGAATCTCTATGAACTTTGACTAGATACTGGTATCTTAGGATGACCTCAAAAACACTAAACATAAGACAAAATGTGTGAGTTAATGAAAAATAAAAATTTTCTGTTAATTTATAAAAGGTATTACAAAGTGAAATGGCAAGTCACATCTGAAAAAGAATTTGTATCCAGAGTACGTAGAGAATTAAATATCTAAAAAGGAAAAAAAAAAAAGTAATAGAAGTGGGCAGGAAACTGTCTTCTACAGGGAGTTCATAATGAAAATATAACAAAGGCCAATGATTACATGAAACTGGGCTAATAGAATTGTTCAAAAGGGAAATTCAAATTAAAAAGACTTAGTTTTAGCATTACTCATCCAGTAAAAACAAAGTTAAAAAGACTGTCAATATCTGATGTTCATGAAAATGTGGAGCAACTAGAACTTCCTTAATGTTGGTGGGAATGTGAAATGGTAACGCTACTTTGGAAAACAGTGTGGCAGTTTCTTACAATGCTAAACATAGACTTGTCCTATGATTTAGCAATTCCATCCTAGGTATATATCCATAGGTATGAAAACATGTCCACAACAAGATTTTGTAAGAATGTTTGTAAGACCTTTATGTATAACTAAGAACTGAGAACACCACAAATGTCCCTCAATAGACAGATGGAAAACATTGTGGTATAGTCACTGGTTGAAATACTAATCAACAATAAAACAAATAACACATATAACATCTCAGAAACTAAAAAAGAAAACAAAGAATATATACTGTAGTGCTCATTTTTATAGATATACGAACAGGCAAAACTCACCCATGGGGGTAGAAATTAGAGCAATGGTTACCACAGAAATATGATTTTACTAGGAGTTGGCATAGGAGAACTTTCATGGATGACAGAAATATTCTATGTCTTTATATGGTGGTTATATAGGTATATACATTTATCAAAACACATCTGATTGTACAATTATGATCTGCATTTCATTATATATAAATGTCATCTCCTACTCCCCAAAAGTGTGAAACTGTAGAGTCAGATATTCTGGATTTGAATCCAGGTTCTCTAACTGTGAGACTTTAGGCAAATTATACACCTTCATAGAATTGCAGTTGCATAAGTATTGTGGGGATAATAATTCTCACCTCAAAGAATCATGATGAGAACCAAGTGAGGTTTTATTTGGTGAATAGTTACCAGGGAGATAAATGCTGTCTTAATTAAAAAGATATGTCTTATAATTAAAAAAAAAAGAGAATATGGCTTTTAAAAAGTTATTATTTTTAACAAATAATTAGTAATGAGGTCAAATGTTATTAGTTACGAGTCAACAATGCTACCATTTAAATGAGTCTCCTGTACACCTTGAGTATTTGAGGATAACACATTGTCTTATTAAGAGGACACATTGAACTCATTTTCATTTATTTCGTGTTATTTAGCATTCTTTAATGTAGCTACTTTCTTTTCCTCCTTTTTTTTTTAAAGACAAATAGTCCTCATATATAATTTCAGGCATATATTCTGCATTTTTTAGTTAACTGGGTTAAACACTATAAATATTTGTTATGGCTAAGGGCCTTTTTAAACAAAGAGTGAACTATAAAAGATAATGATGTCTTAAGTAATCTAAACTTTATTAATAAAGCATATTTTCAATTTAGATTGTACATAGGATATCACAAAGTTTTAGGATTTGCAGTAGGGTTTCCCTAACAGGAAAGTCTGGCATTTTCAAGATTTAATATTGCCACCAGTTGTTATGTCATCTGGAGGTCTTATAGTTAAATATGAAATATTTGATGCATTAAATCAATTAATGCCTTGCTAAACTTCTTTATAATGGTAATAAGGTAAATAGATCTTTATTCAGTGTTTACACTCTTCCCAGTAAGACCCTGTGATATCAGCTGAGATATGAATGGAAAAGGAATGAGCTGGTGACCTTGGGATATTTGTGGCAGTTTCTAGTTAATAGACCAGAGATTGTCAATTGTTTAGGAGGCCAAATTTAGATGGCAGATACGTTTTGTTCAATCGTCACGGTTTTACAAAAACATTGTTTACTATCGTTTAAAATTGGGAGCTTTCCATGTGAAAATTCAAATCTGTGACTTCATCTCACATATTTGAAATCTGACAACTCTGGGTTGAAATTGCTCGTTTCCACAAGCCAGCAATGAATTGGAACTGAGTAGCGGTCGCTCCATTTGGAAAGGGCATACCTCGGGTTTTCCACAGACACCTCCCAGCCCACCTCATTCAAATTACCTGTCAGCTTGAACAAACCCTCCTCACTAAGAAAAAGAAATAAGTAGCAAAGCAACAAGAAAACTGCAGTTGCCGCTATGCTTTCAGTTAATAGGTGCTAAATATTTGAGGAAGGAAAGATAAGAAAGTAGGGAAAACTGCTATGATAAAAGAGATGAGAAGGTGAAAAGGACTCGCTTCCAGCTTCAACGGCTATTCATTTAATTGCCAAAACATTTTTTTTTATGCTGTGCATGGGTAGCACTGGATTATTATGTTAGCATAGACTACTCTGCTCATTTGCTACATCTCTACCCCTAGACATGACATGGCCCTTTTGAAGAACCTCATGTGAATGTTTTTCTTGATTCAAATAGTCTGGCATATTATTATTAAAGTGCAAATCTTCTTTGTTTGGTTTTTACAAAGGCTGAAGAGATAACTTTAACAATCGGCCAAGCATTTGACCTGGCATACAGGAAATTTCTAGAATCCGGAGGAAAAGATGTTGAAACGAGAAAACAGATTGCAGGGTTACAGAAAAGAGTGAGTAAACTAAGCTTGTTGTTTTCACATTTATGTGATGTAAGTACAGGGAAACTTGCATATCATCAAACAAATTTAGAAGACCTGCCATTAAATTTCCCCCACACTGATTGGAACTGCTTTCACTGTGTCCCTATAATTTTTCATTCCTGATCCCCTGCACAGTTTTTAACCATTTTATATTGAATTCCCACAAGAACTTAGTGTTCTCATGTGACTTTGCTTCACTTCCTGATGCTTCTCATGGGGATCAGAGCAGCAGAAGCAGCAGATGCTGGGTAAGTGGTTTCCCATGCAGATCAGATTCCTTTATAATTAAATTATACCCTTTCTCCACTCTCTTCAAAATCATCGTAAGCAAGTTTCACTGTCTTGCGGTTATACTCCAAGATTATGGGTACAGATTGCACAGTGCTGCAAGAAAACACAGAGAATGAGGTATTAGGAACATGAAATTTGCACTCACATAAAAACGTATTTTAAATTTAATAATATATTCTCTGGTGACCTAGAATTCTATAATATATCTGAAGCTTTATCAAATACATTTCTCCCTGTGCACAAAAGACTATATTAAACTTTTAAATGATATGATGTTCTATTCATGAATGTAGCCAATATAACAGCCAATATTTTCCAAGAATAAATTTCTGAAGATTATTCAATAATCACTTGCTTTTTAGATTCAAGACTTAGAAACAGAAAATATGGAGCTTAAAAACAAAGTACAAGATTTGGAAAACCAGTTAAGAATAACCCAAGTATCAACATCTCCAGTAAGTATGTAGAAAATATGCATCATTTCCTTAGATACAAGATTTCATGGTGATAAAACATGTCTGGATCATCAGTTCTTCAATATTTCAAATAATACTCTGGGATCAGCAATTTTAAACTAAACATGAATAAAGATGAAAGACGCTAAATAAGAGTAATTTAAAACATTAAAATTGCATAAGTAGCTCAGATCGGAGTTGTTTTTCCATGTTGCTCTTTCTTCTTTTCTAAAATAATTCAGCCTTCGACTTGGTCTTTTCCTCTTTGTGCCATGTAGCCTCTCTTTCATTCCAATTGATTATTATTCACTGAAGTTAGATTCAGTGACCTGGGCCAGTCTACCCTTGGAGTGCTGAACTTCATTATAGAAGTTGGACTGTTAACAAAATCAAATTGGTTTCTTATTTCTTAGCAAGGATTCCTACTGGGAGTGACACAGTTATATTTTAGACACTAAAATCAGTGATAATCTCTGCAGACAACTCTTAGTATATCTGTAGTTAAATTATTTACTTTTGGTTTAGCATAGATTTGAAATCTTTTCCCACTACCACATGCGATGCCATTATTTTGTGATTTTGGCTTAAGGGAATTTTTTGGAGGGCAATGGAATTTAAAAGTTAATATTTTTTTTTCTAGGTAATATATACTTAGGAATTCTTTTCTATTAAAATCATCAGTACTACTGATATTCTCTGTTAAAGTATATATTTTACTTTGCATCTAAACATTTTTATGTATAATTTTTGGCATTATACTAAAACACAGTTATGGCATTTACAAACTTCTGAAAAGAATTTTTGTTGGAAAATTTTATTTGCAAGTCAATTTTGGTTCAATCTCTAGGCTAACTCAATGAAAACTCATATATATAGATATATATCTAGTACTAGAATATTTCACCAGTTCATCACCATGAACAATGCTTCAAGAAGTTGCAGTTAGGGTTTTAAATTTGCTGTGCCCTGGGAATGGATCAGAAAACTTATTTTCTTCTAAACTCACACTTTGCCATCTTCCACACTGAAATGGTTGGCATTTCCATTGCTTGGCATGTAGTTTGTGACAGTAGCCAAGGTGGAGAGATTGGAAATGAATCTCCAGTGTTCCTGTGTACTTGTTCTGCAGTGAGGTGCCGGATCCTCCTCTTCAGGTTCTGGCTTTATTATGATATTCCTCCTTGTTTTTCCTCTTTACTACCATCATTATTCGCTTCTAATCCAGGTTATGATTTTTTTCTTGCCTTCCCCACCCTAAGAAACCGAGCATCAGCTCAAACTCTTCAACCTTCAGTCCCAAAATAGAGCTTTTTTGAGGTCTTGTTGAAAGTTTTCTAAGCCATCCCATGAAACAAATTAGGAATATAAAGATAAATGAAAGGGAAGTTACTTTTCCAAGCAGTCTTAAAAAGGTAGTTTTTGCTGGAATTCTTTGTATATGAAAAGTAGTTTTATTTCAGTCTTTGTGTTTACAAAGGAATAAAAATAAGATCCATCACCATTTTGGATACAAACCCAAAGCTTGTTCATTGTGTATCCTCTTTGTCTAGAAAGGGAGCTAAGGATATCATGTTGAGGGCATGGTAGATATTGGAAAAGCAGAAAAGTCTGGGACATGTTGAAAGAACAGCACATCCCTCTTTCATCTCCTGAAAGCAGACACCGCATCAGAGTTAGCACTGGGCCATCTGAGGGGAAGGTCAGTCAGGGCTGGGGTTACAGGCGTGTGCCTTGGTGATCTCACATGGTTACCAAGTCAGTTTCAGAAATGGCAAGGGACTGGAAGAATGAAGAAATGACCCTCTCTTGAGTTTCCTGGACCCTTTGTCTGAGATAGCAGTTACAAGCAGTGAGTGTGAAATTTGGTATGTAAATGAATGCAGGCTATATGCGAGTATATTTATTTATTCAGGAGTTCTCTTTGGTAGAGGCAGTTATATAAAAAACAGTAAAATTATTCAAATAGCCAATTACTAGAATGGGTGAACCCTCCTAAAGTTGTCATTTACTAATTAGTATAGGCATTGTGTTCGTCTCAGCACTGAATGAATCTTAATAGAATGCTTCAAACACTATAACTAAAAGATTAAATTAAAAAAGAATTTTTTTCTCTAAACCACTCTTTTGCACTTAATACACGTGTAGAAAATTCATTGCATCATTGATCGTTATGCAACTAACTCAAATTGTAACTTTGCAATCTACTTATATTCTTTTGTCGCAGTAGTATCTTTGTCTATATTTTTTCTTTATTTTAAATTTTAAAAAATTACATCTCATAACTTTTCAGCTCCTAAAGTCTTATGTGATTTTTGAAATTGTTGATACACTGGAGGATGTATATCGTTTTTTAAGATTAAAAAATAGAATTTATTTAAATCCTAAAAGAAAGTGAAGTCAACACTTTTAAATTGCTAGAGATATCTGATTAATTCAAATATGTTTGAAGATACTGTTATAAGTATTTATTAACTTGTTTTTAAAAAATTTTTGAAGAGAAAATGAACAAATGTTTGCCTTTCATTTTCAATTTTAGTTTTGTAGCTGAGAAATAAATTAATATAACACTAAGTCCATCTATATTTCACTCCTATTAAAATGATGTCCCAATTTTCTGGTATTTAAAATAAAGTTAAATTACCTACAGTTATTTAGTAAGTGTGAAATATTGCCATGCTTATAAATATCCACTCTGCTGAAGGTTTGTTAATGGTTCAAACTGTTGAAATTGAATTTGAAAAATAATTAAAATTATAAATAATTAAAATATAAATTAAAAAAATATATATCTCTTGTTTAATAACTTGCATTGGATCTGTGGTAAAGCAAATTCCTATAAAGTTGGAAACGTCTTACATCTGTTCGTTCTTATGAAATGTGAGCACTAGTTTAACAGGACACACAGCTGGGACACCAGGTACTTCACAGAGTGCCACTGTGTCCAGCAACGTTAATGCACAGCAAATGCTTCTTGGACTTACAACTCTGGAAGTGAGATTCTGTAGGTTTTGTTTGTTTTGCTTTCAGAGGACTGAAGGATAGAATGCTCCAAAATTGCTAGTTTTCAGCAGCTTGTTTAAAGGATTAGGGGCAGCAATTAATATATTAATTGAAGAACATTGAAGTAAATGATGAATCCCATTATGTGCATTGAAATTACAATGTAGGTGGGTTTGTTATATAGGGTTAATTTGGCTTCAGATTCTCCATGAGTTTTCAGTGTGTAATGGTTAGAGGAACCCCCCAGGACAGATGCCTCTTCACACGTGACCAGCCCCAAATAGGCCTTAATCCTAGTGGAAGCCAGATTTTCTTAAATCACACAGAGGTAACCCTTTTGCTGTATAAAACATTCCAATTCAGAGGTGGTTCAATTTTCTATAAATTATTCAATGTTAAAATTTGATTCCTAAAAATAAACACTTAATGCAGTAATATTCTGAAATATCAGGATTCACAGGTCAAACATGATATAGTCCACATCAAGCAACTGCTGGTCAAAGTAAAACAGAAGATTTATCGCTAATCTTTGCTTTAAAATAGTCTCTTTGAGAAGTGGGAACAAAGAGAACAAATGTAGGAATGGAATTTGGGTGTTTTTGTGGCATTAAAAATCATGTAGAAAATGAAAATAATGTAAATTACTGATAAGGGTGCTCTTATCAGTGTGTGACAAAATAGCAGAGAAAGTCAGTTATGGGAAGAATCAGAAAACTAAAAGAAACATTTTTGGTACAATTTGACTAGATAACCAAAAGATCACATGCCATCTCCCGAGTGAGAGGTCCAAAGTTAAAGCTGAGTTTCTGTTGCATAGAGCAATGGTGCAAAGAACCGGATCTTCTAATAAGAAATCTCGGTGTTAGAGATGCTGATCCTTTTACTCGATGTTAAATCATAGATTTAAAATGTGAGGCCCTGTTGAGTGGAATGTTCCAGATGAAGAACCTTTGTTCTTCATCTAAGTCGCTGTGTAGGTGCGACCGTAGATGCATTTCTCCGGTCTCTTCAGAGGCACCCTCAGGAAGGTTTGCTTTTTCTTAGATGGTTGCCTGCCAAACACTTCTGTGTTGTATACATCGATGTGAATTGGTCATCCTGATTTATTTTGAGGATGCAAACTAATTTTAGGTTCAGGCTTTTAATGAAAATCTTCAAGAATTTTAACAAATTTTTTCAAGGTATGATTGTGTAAACTTTAGTTTTGTTTGTATTTTTCCTAGTCCCACTAAGTAATCACCATTTCAGAATAGTATCTTAGTGACATATTTTATGTATTACAATGCATATCACTTTGATTTTTATTTTCTCACATTTGTCAGTTGTATACATTAAATACAGTTGTGATCTGTTGTGGCAGCTTATGAAATACTTGTTGAACATCTAAAATATTTGTTGAACATCTTACATGATCATATGATATTCTAGGCCCTCGGGTTTTAGTGGTATATGAATTTCAGCTGTGAAATTTACACAGCATGGGGAAAGGGAGGGAGATTAATAAACCCATGTGTAAATGAATAAATAAATTTAGAAATTTGGATCTTATATATGCTGTGAATAACATAAAAGAGTAGAATTGAAGAGAGAATGACTGGGAGCTTTTCTTAGAAACAATGATCTTGGAAGCCCTGTCTGAGAAAGTACCATTTAAATTGAGACCTGAATGAGAAAAAGTTATTCAATGCAAAGGGCAGAAAATAGTAGTAGCAAGGACCTTTGTGCCTAGAGCATAGTGACCAGGAGACCAAAAAAATTGGAGAGAGAATCAGAAGCTAGGTTTCATAGGCCATGTTTTTTTGGGTGTTATTTGTTTTGTTTTGTTTTGTTTCGTTTCCTTTGATTCAAGTAAGAAGTTACTTAAACAGGGGATTTGGGGATCATCTGGCTACTATATGCACCATGGCTGTAAATAAGCCAAAATGAAGTCCCTCAAACTGTCTAGGAGGATATCTTGGTAGTTTGGGAGATGGAGAAGAGTAGACTGGCCTAGGATTCTG